CTCCCCTCGTTTCTCGCACGCCCCGAGGGTTTCCCATGCGGGTGCCTCCCCGCTGCAAGAGGCAAAGCAACGTAGTCCCTTTGGAGACCATGGTGTTGCCAGGGGAGAGGCCTGTGGGAATCTGAGCTCTCGCTGCTGCAGGTGTCGCTGAGTTCCGTGCCGCTGGCGTGGGCATCGACTGAAGACTGCACTGTAAGTGGCATGTTGCACTGCAAATGACGTGACAAGAAAGCAGGCAGACAAGCTCAAGGACATGTGACTGCTCTCTCCCCTCTGCTATGTGCTGGTGTGGTCTCTCAGGCTGTCCCTTCACATGCCACCCCCCCGTTGTGCTGGTCGGTAAGAGGGCTGTCTTTCCTATTGCAGTGCTGGCCTGCTGGTGGCGCCCCCTCTGTAGCTGTTGGGTGTGAGGTTGTCATGTGTGCTTGTTTGCTTTCCGGTTGCCCAGGGGACATCAAAGCGGTCCACAAAGGTAGGGGAAAGGTTTTGCCAGTGTGCGCGGTCCCGTGCTGCCTCCCCCCAGCGCGTGCCTCCCACACTCTCCAGAGCTCTCTCGACGTCTGCTTCTGGGTTAAAGCGGGCTGCATGGTTGACTCTGCTGTTGCGCGGTTTGCGCTGTTCTTGGCGCCAGAAGTCAAGGTTTTTCCACTGTACCATGGCGTTAACTTCGTCGCCCCTCTGGCCATGTGCCCCCACAGGGACCAGATCTGCTGTAGGATGTATGTGGACCAACGAGTCCATCCCCCCCTTTTTGGAGCTGGAGGCGCGCCAGTCGGAGAGAGCGGATGTGCCAGTCCGCCCACTGCTCCGTGGGTCGTCTCTCTATGTGTAGCATGCGTCTGAGGTGCTGCGCTTGTAGTGAGTTGGCTGCTTTGAGTATGCGTTGGTTGACCGGCCACGTTTCGGCTGCGTAGAGTGCTGCTGAGCGGACGAGCGTGGTGTATGCTGCCATCCTTGCCTTTAGGCCCGTGCGTGCCAGCAGGATGCTCTTGTGCTTGGCGAAGGATTGTCTCCCCGGTCGGCACATTTCCGCTATGATTGCTGCTGTTTGCTCTCCGAAGGTGATGGGGGAGCCCAGTGTCGCAATGACGGTCTTGTGGTCAGCGCATGGTACCGTGGCGTCCCCGATCTGGAAGGTGCCTCCCCCTTCTGGTTGGCTAAACAGGATAGCGGTCTTGGTGGGGTGTATGTGGAGGCCGTCCTCTGTGAGCTCAGTTTCGAGATTTCGCAAGAGGCGTTGTAGGTGGTGTCGGTCCTGTGACCAGAGGTAGGTGTCGTCGAGGAAGCTTCCCCCTGCTCTGGGTGGGCTGGGGCCCCCCTGTGCGTCTGGGCTTTGCGTTGGAGTTGCCTGGATGGCTGCCTGGAGGTCTCTTGCCACGATCGCCCCGAAAAGGTCAGAAGAATCAGGGCTGCTGAGCCACATGCGTGCCTCCCATGGTTGGTCCGGGACTGGGCAGCGGGTGGAAGGTATTCCCCAGCGACAAGCTCACTCATACTATGCTGCCACACACTATCAAACGCTTTCCGTATGTCCAGTTTGACAAGCCATGTGGGCACACCCCAGTCTTTCGCCATTCCCGCCTGATGGTTGCCACCAATTCCACCCCTTGCCTTCCGTGTCTGGCCCATTGCAACTGTGCCTCCCCCCTGATGTTTGCTCCCCCCCTTGCCAAGAGGAGTTGTGCTGCCAGTTTGAGCAGTGTACTGCTCAAAGTAATGGGTCGTGTATCAGTCCACTCGAGGGGAGTGGGTACTTTGGGCAGGAGCACCGTGATGCCACGGTCAATGGTCTCGGGGACGCGGGCCGTGTAGAGCATGTCGTTCACAATGCAGGTGATGGTTCCCCCCCATTTGTCGTGGTAGAGAGTAGGGCCTTGGTGGCTTCATGGGAAATCCCGTCCGGTCCGGTGCTCTTGTTGCTCCCCCATCTTTGGGCTGCTTGCTGGAGCTCTGCAAGGTGGAAGGGTTGCCCTGGGGTGAGTTTGCATTTGCGTCGCAGCTGGTCCCGTAGTGTGGCTATGCGTGCGCTCCCCCCGGGCGGGAGGGGTTTGGCGAAAATGGAGCGCATGTGCTTGTGCAGCTGGGTTTGCCAGTCTGGGTCGTCTAGGAGGTGGAGTTGCCAGCCGCGGTGTGTTCTTGCTTTCTGGAGGGTGCGGAGTGACCTCCAGTCGAGTTGTGAGGCCTGCTCGGCCTGTTTGGTAGTCCGTGCGCGGTGTTCTTGTTTGTGACGCTTGGCCACGGCCTTCCACGCTGCTCTGGTGGTCGGCATTGTTGGGCTGCCTGTCGCATCCCCCAGAGCTCCTTGCTTTCCTGGAACCTGTTGTGTCCGCTGCCGGGGACGGTGATTGCTTTGGCGAGTGTGGCTACGACCTTGTGCGGGTCTTCCCCCCTGGGGGGTGGTGTCCAGGAGTTGTAGCAGGTTGTCAGCTGACATCCCCCCGACATTCCACATCATTGCCCAGGTTTGGCCGGGTCTTTGTCCCCCCTCGGCCTGGGGGTGAAACTCTGTTGGCTCGTCCGTGGTTCAGTTGATCTCCGCCTTGAGCGGAGACCACGTGGCTGCCGTGGCTTCTTTGGTGGTACGGGTGGCTTTGGCAATTGCTGCAATGTCCACCCAGCCCGGTCCAGCCTCTTCCGTTCCCCCTGGCCGTGGTGCAGTCGCTGAGCAGATCTTGACGCTGTTGACCCACGCACTTCCAGTGCTGAACTCCATCTGAAGGGACCCTTTGTCTCCCCCCAAAGTGAGGAACAAGCGCTTGACTTTGGCTGCTCTGGCTCGTCGCCTCCTGTCAGGCGGCTGGGACATAGCGATCCAGACGCGCTTTGAGGTGCCATCGGATCTGCTCCCCAACTGGATGTTCGCCCCCCGAACTTTGGAGATGACATCCTGAACTCGGGATCGCCTTTGTTCATAGGTCTCCCCCATAGGCTCGTCGATCGGCAGAATCGCGTAGCCGCGACGGACGCCCGGGACAAAGAGCGGGGTCGTGTCAATGGGCGCCTCCACCGACTTAAGCACGTCCAGAACCGCGTCCTTGGTGTCGGCGGCGAGGGCGTCCGGGTCCCATCCCCCGATGATGAGCGCTGGCTTGCGGGCACTGTCAGAGGGAGCGATGGTGCTACCCGCTGTCGACGATCCCCCGCCTTTTTCAAGCCGCTCCAGCCTGAGGTTGACCTCTTTGTTCGCCTCTTGCAGTTGTTGCAACACGTCCCCCTGCTGTGTGTACTTCTGGGTCATGTCGTCGAGGAGGTTGATGGTTTGTTGCATCTTGCGTGTGACCTGGCTTTCCACATTGTCAACTCTAGCAGCGAATCCCCGGATGTCCTGCTTGACCTCGGAGAGGGCATCTTTCAGTTCCCCTCGGATGGCTTCACGAATGACGTCCAAGTGAGAGGCCAGCCCTTCCCCCTGGTCTGCTGCTCTGCGTTTGGTAGGCGAGTTGCCCGCCTGGTCCACCGGCATCTCACTGCCATGTGCATTGGTCATGGTGCCTTCCCCCCGGTAGTTTGCTAGGTCGCCGGTCTGCAAGTAGGACAGCAAACGTGCCCCCGTGGTACTTTAGGACCCGGTGTTCTTGCGGCGGATCGCTCCCCGGAACTCTGCCACGAGTAGGCTCGCTTTATTGTTCAGGTAGCTGGTCAGCAAGTCCCCCGCACGCCTCGGAGAGCAGCGGTCAACGTACAGCTCCGACCTTGCCGTACTCGCCCCGGGCAACCTCGAAGGAGAAGTCGCGTAGTGGTGCGATCGTGCCCGCGAACTTGTATGGCGCCCCCCCTCTATCGGCTTTCCCTCGCAGTCAAGTTTGGAGGCCCTCTTCTGTCTGGGCGGTGCGGCCTTGAACCACTCACGGCTTGAGCTTGAGCCAAAACTCTGTCTCTCTCTCTCTCTCTCTCTCTGTCTCTTGCGCTTTCCCTCCGGAACATGCAAAAGCAGCGAATGCTCACCTCGCCTGCGAAAAGTGCACGTCCGAGTCTGTGACGACCGGCAGTGATCAACAGGATCAACACCCACTGTATGTGCCAAAGGTACACCCTCTAAACCGCTTGACTACAGCCAGGTCGATCCCGTGTTCGAAGCGGAGCTGCTTCCATATGCCGCGGCCTGAGTGCCACCCGGCACGCCCTTGTCGCCAAACCGGCTTACAGATTGGACAGCTTGTGGGCGTCTGTGAAACTGTTTCTCTTCCTTCCGCTGGGGCAAGGTCCATGCTACTCTTTCTCTCTTTCTCTTTCTCTCTCTGCTGCTCGCTTTCAGACGCGAGTGCAGAGCAAGGCCATGAATGCCATGATGCCTTGGCCCTGGGGCATAGGCGCCATGACAGGTTGCCTGAGGCTGCTACTTCGCCGGATGGCTCTGGTGTGTCCGTAGGCTCCTGATCTGCACATCTCCCGAGGACCGACGGTGGTCCAGCCAGAAAACTTCACCGTGTCCAAGCTGCCTCCGAGGCATCCGGCATGGCTTTCGGCCACCAGACTTCGTGCTTCGCAAATTTCGCTGATCTGTTCGCGTGCTTTTGGATCTATTTGGCAGTGGGCTGGGCATGCAAAGAAGCACCAGGCTGGTTTGGATGGTGATGGCGGGCATGCTGTCGAATGAATTCTGAGTCGACACGGTTGCGGCACAGTGCTTGTCAAAGCGGCCCCTGGCAGGGTTCTGCGATGTATGACAAATAATCTTATTGCCGAAACCTCTCTTGGCATGTCTCAGCTGCGCTCCCCGGCACGCGAAGCTCAGCTGCTTCCAGGACGCTTGCCTCCATCCTCCATTTATGCGCTAGCGAAGCCGCCTGGCTCTGTGGAATTCCAGAGCACCCTAAGGCCCTAAAGTCTTCCCCTTTGGGGAGTCTTCGGTGCTGTGCAGGTAGCCACCGATGCCCAATTGAAACGCTTGAAGTTCTTTCTGACGAGTATATGGCCTCCATTGATTCGCTGCAGGAAACGGGCACAACAGCGAAGTCGAATCGGCTTCACAGAAACGGTCAGGTGAAACGGTGAAACACTCACTCCGGATCAGCTGGTGCCTCACACACAGTTATAGCCTAGAGGCCTCTAGCCTTCAGTGCGACCTATGCTGCACCATGCTGCATCCACCCTGCAGTTTGTAGAAACACATGCCAGTATCACCTCCAAAGGCATCGGAATGCAGCGCACACGTTTCTTGACGTGGCCATCCTTTAGCCGCTGGCGGATCTTCCTCCTTGCAAAACTGGACTTGACGGGGCAGGCTGCGAGGGCATTTCAGGCGTAGTGTGAGTATGTCGTTATCTGAGGTACGAATACAGATCGCTGCATAATTGCTGCCGCTCAGAAGTCCTGACGCAGGACTGTGTGCCATCAAGCGTGCGCGTGCCATACAGCGGACGCATCGTAGAGTGGAGTTCGTACACGAAGCCTGACCGGCAGGTACCATCACAGAATGAGCACGTTCTGCAGGCACTACAGGACCTGGTGACAGGCAGCCAGTGTCCGTCTTCACAGGGCCACCATCCTGCCAAGACGGCCCGAGGAGAGATGCAGCCCGCCGGCCCCTCCCCCCCCCGAAATGGATGCTGCTGCGTTAACTCCTGCAGACCATGCCCAGCAGCGGTGTCGGAAACAGTTCGTCGAGTCTTTGGGAACGTGTAGCACCTGCGGCTGACACAGCCTCATGGTATGCTTAGGACGCTGTGTAGAATGCTGCAGTCCGAAATCCTAGATTTCTTATCGAGCTGAGCAGTGCGCGGTGCAGACAGGAGGCTTGTGGCGTCGGACTCAATGGGATTTATCCTAGGGGCTGTGAGTGAAGACTTGCTGACAGCTTCCACAGTTGTTCTCAGGGCCAGTCTGTCTCCCCAATGACTTCTTCCATGGATAGGTGTGGTTTGCTCCCAAAATCACCTCTGCACTCGAGCTGATCTCTCTCTCCCTCTCTCAGAGACACTCCCGAGAGCTTCTTGAAGGCCCCAGCAGTCTCACCACCATCCACCGAGAAGGCCTGCGGCACCCAACTCGCATGCTCTCGACTCCGACGGTGGAATCTGGCCAGATTTCCAAGACGAGTGCTGAGCCACCAGGGATCGACTTCATGTATGCGCCTGGCCTGCAGCGCATGTTCCACGACCAAACGTCCGGCAAGCCACACTGCAGCTTGAGGCTGTCGCCCGGGAACGGCTCTCTTCTGCACCTGTCAGAACCATAGGTCATAAGTCATAAGTGTACACGAGATCATCGGAAAGTACGAGCACTGTGTAGTCGTGTGTGTCTGTAGTATACTGAATCGAACGGACAGGAAGTCCAAAGCCTCGTAACACCAACAACCGGCAGGGTGAGGCACACAACAATCGCTTGCAGCAAGGCGCCTCTTCTGGGTTCAACTCGCCATTGCCATGCGTTCCGGGGAAGCGCTTCGCCCCTAAGTGCGCCCAAAGAATGAGGCAGCCAAGGGACGCAATTCTCTAATCTCGGCACCAGACTTGGGAAGGAATAATCTTCCGAACTCTGAAGGATGGGATGATGCCTCATGGCACAGCCATAGAAGCACTGACGGCACCGAACTGGTGCTGCTGGGCGGCGTCCGCTTGTCGGCAGGACCTCACAGCGTGACCCCATGAAAAACGCGTTGGAGCTCCGCTGGAGCTCTTGAAGCCGAATTTCGCCTACTCGTTGACTCCGCCTACTCTTAGGCTACTCGGACCCTGCTTTTACGCACTAACTGGACACCAAGAAATGTCTGTGCCGCACGCTTCTGAGAAGTCGATCATGGTGGCTCCCTCCTCCCGGCCTCAGCATCTGCAGAATCAAACGCAATGAGATGTGGATTTGCAGAGAAATGCATCTCTTTCGCCCGGCCGAAGCGACACGACAAGGCTCCAGCAAGTGATGAATTCCGTAATTGTTGTGAGATGCCTTCACATCGTGCAAGTGATAGTTCACAGCGTACCGCTGCAAGCTTGCACTGGGTAGTGACCTTGGGCCAGTTGCAGTCGGAGAAGACATCCGGGAGGGAGTGCATTCGCCTCAGCATGTGCGCACTAGATGACCCCTGTGCCTCGGTCCATTCGTCAAATTCGAAGACCCCTGCCACTCGTAGGTGGCGCCAAGCACTGACGCCCCAAGAGCTCTTCCACCCTGAGCCAGCCGGGAATCCACAAGTTCAGGCAGCTTGCCCGAGCCGCCAGCTCTTGAGCTCTTTACGGCATGCTCAGCTTGGCCCACGACTGCGGGAACAATGCTGAGGATCTTCTTGCGCAGAAGCGCAGATTTTGTCAGCACTGCCTGCGTGCCGGTAGGATCATGCATATATGCACAAAGTGGTGGAAGCATTGAGCTTCCGACCATACGATGTCGCCGCTCAGGGTGCCCTGCCTCAATACACAAGCAAGTTCTGGATGGCAGGATGTCATTCCCACTGCCAGGCCCCCGTAGGCTTCGATTACGTGTTACTACAGGCTTGCGACATTCCAGACGACACAGACACAGCACGACGAAGCTTGCGTTCCCATGTACCGGGCATTGTGTCTGCGCGCACGAAACACCCGAGCAATCCCGCAAAGCTACCCCGGACCACGTTGGCCCTGCATCCCGACGGATCTGTGGATTAGGGCCTCCGGCTTCTGGGTACTGCAGCTTAAGCCTAGACTCTAAACGAAAGGACAGGCACAAGCCGTGAATATGAGGTTTTGAATGTTCGCATCTGAGGTGGATGCTGGCGATGGCGCTGGTGTGTCTAGCTCCAGAAACATCGACTATCTTCTGTAGGTCTCTGTCTGTGTTTCCGGCATGTTCGTGACTTGCCGACTCCTTCCAGAATTGTCAAGAATCAATGCCGCGACGACCAAAAGGGCAAACATCGCTGCAAGGCTGCAACGCCGCTAGCTACGGACTACTGCTACTGCTAATTACTGCTACTATATTATTTACAAACAACAAGAACAACGACCTCAACCTCAACTTCCTACCCTACCTCTCGTGCTACTATACTACTACGACGTCTACTACTATAACTACTGCTGCCACGAGGTCAGTGGCTGTCCGGGGGCTCAGCAATCAGCTGTGCAATGAACGAGTCGAGCTTCAGGTTGGGCTGCAATTGCAGAATGACTCTCCATGCTTCGCGTCCGCATCGCTTCACCGTGGTCGAGGGAAAAACAATTCCACGCCTGCTGCGGGGATCGCTGCTGCGCTTGCATGACCTCCAGCTGTGCCACCTGCATGTTTGGCAACTTCCCTAGCCGCAAAGCCACGATACAATTTTCAGGACAGTGCGATGCTCTTCAAGTCCTCAGCTTCCTGTTCAGAGACCTGAGGTAACACGGGAAACCAAGTTTTGAAAGCACCGAAGACACGGGTCTCGGGTCCCCGCAGAATCAGGAGCTGCCAACTGGGTAGTTGACAAAGAATGAGGCAAGATGGTCGTGGCCTGGGCAATTAAAGAATCCAAAACTAAACAGCAACAGGCTGCAAAATGGCTCTAAGCTCGCAGCCATTGTGGACTCCGCCTCGGAGGCTGCCCGTGAAAGCCTTTCCCAGGAAGCTTAAGTTGAGGTCTCAATACTCAAGAGAGTCCAGCGGCGCCCTTCTCTCACAAGCGGCCTCTGCGAAAGCATGCCATTCGTGCTGCTCGACTTGCTTGGCCTCTCTGCAGCTGGGCCAACTCTGACGCCACGCATAGTCTTCAAGCACCACAGCTCTGAAGACAACAGGTTTGTCGTCATGTCGTCTCAGCAGGCTCTTTCGGGGCCCCGGCTCTGCTGGAAGCTTTACTCTGGCAGTGCTTGCGCTTGCAGCCATGACAAGATGCTAGAATCTAGAAAGATAGTTCAAGCTTTTGACCCAGCCACGCTGTATGAAGGCCTCTTCTAATCAACGCGATGCCGAGGCATCGAAGCAGTATGCTGACCTCCCTCGCTTGCTCGCAGCTACGATCTGCAAGCATCAGATGGCTGCTGTACCGACAAGGTTCAACATGCCTGGCAGAGGATCCGCTTTGCTTCGGCACCCGCCTTGCTAATTGAAGACGTCATTAATTCATTAAAGACGCAGAGCTCCGTGTAGATTCTTGCTTTTTGTCCGTGGAGCTCTGAGGGGGGTGCTGAGGCACATCAACGGCAGCTACATTGTAGTCCGCCTGTGGTGGTGTGAAACGTCATCGTCCGACAGCCTGCCACCAGGTGCTCTGCCTGAAAAAAAAGATTCTAGTCGGCAGAGCAGGTGCCGCAGGACTGAGGATCGGCATCTATTCAAACGAAAACATGTTTTAAAAGCCTGCAGTATGCAGCTTGGGCGAGTTCTGAAACCTACCAAGCTGTCAGGAACTGACTGCTGAGGTCAAGAGGTATAGTCGGGGTTCGGAGACAGGTGCACAAAGCTTGGGTCGCGCTCTTGTGGCGACGTCACATCTTGATCCTGCATGGCAAAGACGACGAAAAGCAAGCCGCAACACGTACAGTACGAAATGCAGGTCTAACCTGCTTGCGTGGTGTCAATACGTAAAGCCTAGGACGAGCGTGCTAGAATTACGTGACCAACCGACGGTCTTTTCCACAATACTTGTGCCAAATAAAATTGTGCTGCCAGAAGAGGTCGGCTCTTGAGCTAGGGCCAGGTGCACGCAAAATCTGAAAAGCAGGAACTCGCAGCATCTCGGCAGATGAGTGGAGATAGGCCGTGTGCTATGGTTCCACGAGCTATGGAAGTTGAAGCGGCCCTCTTCCGAACTCAACGTCACCCGCATACAACAGTTATCAACAGTTAGTCTAATTAAGCTCTGTGATGCGATGATAAGGCTGTGCGGATCAATGAAACATTAATGAATGTCATGTCTCCTCTTTTCCCAAGACCTCGGCCCCGGGAAAGACTCGCGAAGCCGCGACCTTTGACTCGCCTCAGCGGATGGTGAAGCAAGAGCATGACAAGATCCATAACAGCTTGTGAATCTGGGCGGGGGAGGGGGGGAAGGAAGGGGAAGCTTAGCCGGAATCGGATGCTCCTTGCGGCGAGGGTCCATGAGGCGGCGTTTTGCCGAAGTGACAGCGAGCGATCAGCCACTGGCCAAGCAAAGCCAACAAGGCGACCACGAGAGCGGCACCGAGCCAAGCGAGTAGTATCTCGCTTTGCCGCATGTGCAACTCGGGATTTGCAGACACCAGTGTGAGACCTGCAGGGTAACCCAACAGGCGCAATCCGTTTCCATCCCGACTAAATCCTGTGCCTGTGTGCCAGATCGATACTAGTGGCAGGATCAAGAGACAGAACATCGTCTGGCTTGTATGGGCCAAGCGGTTGTCATCAGGAAAGTTCCGCCGTCTCACCATGAGCAGCTTGGGTAACCGAGAGCGCAGGTCCAGCTGGCGTGCAAACATCTGAGGAATCAGGCCAATGGGATTCATCGGAGCAAACCTTACGTATTACTCACACCCGCGCGGCGAAAGGCAAGCACTGAGTCTGAGGGACTTCGTGCGATGGAAGGACTGCAGAGGCCAAGTGGCATGACCAAGATCAAGAAATTCATTTTCACCAGCTTCAGTTCTGACAAAGGCTCCATCTGGCGTAGCAGCCGTTGGTCTAGAGGCCCAAACAGCCCGTAGACCATTGTGGCCCCTTGTGGATGACAGTCTCCACAAATATCTATGCCACAGTTTTTGCAGTGCCTTGGCTGCAAAAGCTTCAAACATGCGAGATAGCACGTGCTGGTTTAAATCAAGCTTGGCAACCGTGTGCAGTCGAGCCACCACCGGTACGGACCCTTGTTTTCACTGCTAGACTGACATACACCATGATGTCGACAAGTCCAGCCCCCACTGTCGCTGGTTTCAGCCTCGGTCCATTCCATTTCCCTGTTGCAGACCAGGCAGAGTGGGCCGAACGCCTGGCGTGGTTTCAGAAACTTCAGACAGTCGCCGACATGCTATGCCATGAAAACAGCATCTGCGCAAATGTCACGTGTAGCATACGGTCGCATGATGCCCAAGTGCACCTTAGCAGTCATCTGTTCGATGATCTTCGGCGGTCTGAATGGAAATCCTTCGAAGATGTAGCGCAAGCCCAGCACACCTGCAACAGCACCCCATGTCGGACAGTCTGAACAAGCTGGCAGCTCACATTTGGCGTGAAAGGAGGAACGGTCCGCGGGTTGCGGTACACAAACGTAATCTCCGCCTACTTCCCTGTTGCCGGTGTTGCATCGGTCTTTAATTATCGGATTCAGCCCTCTCCAAAAGCTTCATGCCGCTTCGCAAACCGTAAACCCATGACGGTTCACTGTTAACTGTTAACTCAACAACAGGATGTCAAACAACGATGTTGAACTTTTGGATACTTTTGGGCATTGCCTTTCTCTGGCCACTCGGAGCCCTGGCGGTGAATCGGGTCGGCAGTCGGGTGTGGCTCCGGCGTGCAATGTCAAGTCTAGTGGCACACGGTGCATCTTCCCACCTCCATCCAACAAGAAGATGAAAGCCAGAAGCCGTCCGAGTCCTGACAAGATCTTACGAGTTCGAGCATCTGCGAAACTCACATCTGTCGCACTCCGTTACTTCGTCAATTGTGCAGAATTGCTCGGAGAAACTCACACTTTCGGAGAGGGTATCAGTGTGACGAATGGCCCATCAGTACAGGCAAAATCAAACCAACGAATACAAACGACACAGCTATCAAAGATAGGATCGCTGCACCTACCACCCTCCACTGTCGTATCAGCGGTGATGCTTCGGTATAGACTCGCGCGCGAATATCGAGAGGCTGCACAGTGTCCTTGAAGGCAACGGCAGCAGCATGCTCCAGCTCGCTTCCGATCTTCCTCCGCATCCGACCCTCTGCGAGATATCTGAACTTGTGCATATATCACATAGGCCTTGGTGGACACACTTGACGTGCCATGACCGCTGATCCTGGCCTTCGTACTAGCAGACTAGTGACTAGCACATGCTTGACCATGCTCAGCCTCCGACGACCAGTGGCACGATAAACTCCATGAGAACCTCCACGAATGGAGCGACGACGAAGAGTCCGCCCAACCACGCCTCGAAGAGGTCCCGTCTCCTCGGTTGGAGTCAGAGCAGTAGGCAAGAGGCCGCTGGAAGAGCCGAGATCGCGATGTGTTCACTGCCTGATCTATAGTATCTATAGTAGGAGCTCCTGCATTTCTAATCCAAGCAAAGGCTTTCGTGCCTACTGTCCCGAATCGATTTCGACTTCATCCTCACCCCTCCTCCTTCCTCCTGAAAAAGTCGTTTCTGCTGAGGTCGCCGCTGGTGAAACTCCAGCTTTGATCTTGCGCAGAAGAGAGTGCCAGCGCAGCAAACTGGATCACTAGGAGCACAACTGCGCAAGGCCCGACAGACCTTGACAAGCAGTGGATGGAGATGCACCTCTGTACAACCTCCCATGCACACGCTTCATTCCGTACATCTCAACTGTGACTGTTTGCATCCAGGTTACCTGGAAATCCCAGAAGTCTACGCAGCTAGTGGAGTCCCACCATTCAGTTTCCGGCGTCTCTTCCCACTCAGGCAGGAAAGAAAACGCCAAGTAAGCAAATACTCCAATTGTAGCAACCATGTCAATGCTGATGGCCGTGAAGTGCTCTACGAACAGTCGGAGAATCATGCTGTGGAAATTCCAGTTCCTTCCAAGACGAAACAATGCGTCACTTACCGACAAGACATCGTCGGTCGCAAAAGCCATTCGCAGCTAAGGATCTTGGCGATTTGTCTTGCGAACGCTTTGCAGAGCTCGCCCGTGGCAACCGCAATCAGCAAGGCCATCAGGATATCACATGCTATCATGGATATTGTGCCAGCGAACCCATGCTTGAACGACGGATCGCGGCAACCCAACTTGTAGCAGTCACCCCACTCGTAAATCCTGAGTCTCGCAACTACAAGTAGGTGACTGAATAGCTATGAAAGGGATGCGGATGGTGGAGCAGAGGGAGAAAGACAGAGCGAAAAAGAGAGTAAGCTCAGGAGCTATGCTCATGATGCAGATTCCAAACACATACGTGATCGACAGGATGGTACATCAACATACAGACTCAGCGTGAGTCTCCTTTCAAGCTGTACGTACACTGTATACATATATATATATATATATATATATATATATATATATGATCCCGGTTCGGTGGTTCCTCCTCCCCCCCCGTGGTGTGGTGTGGTTGTGGGTTGCTTCCCCCTCCTGTGGTGTGGTGTGGTGTGGTTCGGGAGTGGGTCTGCTTAGGCTGGTTACCCCACTCCCCCCTGTGGTGTGGTGGTGTGGTTTGGGTTTCTTGCGTGGGTCTGATTGGCGTGAGCCCTCGTGTGGAAAAAGCTTGCACAGTCACACAGTCACACACAGATTCGGCTTGGGGAGCGTGGGGGGGGGGGGATACCATGGGTGGGGGGGGGTCGAGAACCGGGATCAAAAAACACTATTTGTTCGGCCGGCCCCCCCCCCCCCCCAATGGTTCCTCCTCCCCCCCTGTGGTGTGGTTGTGGGTTGCTTCCCTCCCTGTGGTGTGGTGTGGTGTGGTTCGGGAGTGGGTCTGCTTAGGCTGGTTACCCCACTCCCTTGTGGTGTGGTGTGGTTTGGGTTTCCTGCGTGGGTCTGCTTGGCGTGTCTGCCCTCGTGTGGAAAAAGCTTGCACAGTCACACACAGATTCGGCTTGGGGAGCGTGCGGGGGGGGGGGGGGGGTCGGTGAACCGAGAACCGGGATCATATATATATATATATATATATATGTATATGTATATGTATGTATATATGTATATGAATGTATACAGGTATACCGGTATGCACAGTCTTACATCAT